CTTTCATCCCTGAACCCTCAACTCCGAACCCTAAACCCTCAACCCAGCAAACCCTAGACCGGAAACCCTAAAACCCTAAACCCCAACTCCTAGACCCTAAACCCTGAATCCTATACCCTAAACCCTAAACCCCAAATCCTAAACCTTAAACCCTGAATCCTAAACCCTAAACCCCAAACCCTGAACCACAAACCCCGTCCCTCAGGGGACTTAGGGACCCCGTTCTTGGGGCCCAAGCGCTTCCTCCTTGTCCTCATACTCCTGCTTCCTCATCAGGCCTGGACCTAGAGATTTTTAGGGTTTAGAGTTTAGAGTTGAGGGTTGATGTACAAGGACAGGTGGTTAGTAGGTAGCAAGGGAAGGTATGATACGGGGATTACATAGGGAGTATGTAGGGATGATGTAGAGATTATGTATGGGGTGTAGAAGGGTTATATGAGGGATTGTATAGGGATGGTGTAGGGATTATGTTGCATTCTTTTATTCCCTACTAACCACCAGTAAGATAACAGTTGATCATAACATCTGGCATCATATCAAGTATCCAAGAATGCAAAAGGACGTTCGGAAGGAACTCATAACAAAAACATGGCCCGCCTTCGGGCATACAGCGTGCCACATCTTCGTTCTGCAGATTCAATATGAGCCAAAATCTAAACTCCTAGCATCACCAGTAGTAATTTCTATGACACTATGAACCCCAATATACCCCCCCTTCCTTTAAGGAGTTTAGACCCTAAACCCTTAACCCTATATAACCCTACATAATCCTACATAACCCTACATAACATTATATAATCCTATGCAACCCTATATAATCCTGTATAATCCTATAGTATCCTACATAACCCTCTATCACCCTATATACAAGCCTATATGGCTGATATATTTGTAAAAAATATCCCCATCTCCTGGGCTGCTGCCAACCAGCGTCCGGAGTGTCCAGGTCTTAGTCTTCACAAGCTGAGTCTCACTTTTTTGGAGGGGTTCCCAGAATTAGGGGTACAGAGTTTAGGGTTCAGGGTTTAGGGTTTCCCAGAAGTAGGGGTGCCATTTTGGGGGGTCCCCATAATAAGGACTATAATGGTTTGGTGTCTATATTTGGGGTCCTCCTATTTAGGGAAACTACCTTTTCTGCGGGGAGGGGGGGTGGGGGGGGTTCTTAAAGTTCTTGGTCTTGGTTTGCTTAGGCAGTATTATGCCCATTTTGGGCTGAATGAAGCCATAAGCGCCGCATTAAACCTATCAATTCTAGACCATGTTCGCCGAAAATCACTACCACAGAGTGTCTTTCCCCAACAAGGAAGCCCATATTGACCAAGCTAACATCATCTAGCTCATCAAAGTATGTATCTACTGTAGGAACTATAGGATCAAAGTGGCTGCATCTTTCTGAGTCTCCGAGGATGTGTTTAGTTTTGTTGTTTGTTGCAGCGTCTCTTTTACCCTATACCCTAAAGCCTAAACCTGTAGCGAGGAACAAAAAGTCTGTTCGGTCCATTGGTGGAGTATCGCTATGCCCTCTCAGACGCTACGCTTCCGCTGTAACCCTGAGCCTTGTTGGTGTTCAGACTATTTGGGTTTAGGGCTTAGGGCTTAGGGTTTGGGGTTTAGGGTTTAAACCCTAAACCCTAAACCTTAAACCCTAAACCCTAAACCCTTTAGGGTTTAGGGTTTCAAACCTTTTTCTGGCTTGAACCCACTTGAAGATCTGCCGGGTGCCGAGCCCCGCGTCGACCCGCCATGAGCTCCATGTGGGCCGGCTTGATGGGAGCCTCGGCTGTGTTTGTCTTTACCCGGGAGGTTAGAAGGGAAGAATGGAATACGATCCCTATGTAATCCCAATATACTTCTTATATAACCCCTATATAATTCCTACAGAATCCTTATCTATAGCACATTCCCTTATTCCCTAGTAACCCCTGGTTAGGTTCATCCTGCTTAGCTCCCACAAAGCTCCAACAACGTTGCATCGCTTAGCGCACTGCACCATCGTCAGTCCTCATGAGTGAACACTCCCATGGCCGACAAAGAGCGCAAAAACTTACTAGTGGTTAGTAAAGGATAAGACAATATAGTCCTATTTATTTCCTTTAAAATGATATATGTATATATATATATACATATACATATATGCCCAAATGCATACACAAATATTCCTTCATTCCTTCCAACATTTACTTTTATATACATTTTCCCTTAGTCCCTACTAAGCACCAGTAAGAAAAGGGAGGTCTGAGAACCGATAGGGTGCAGGCAGCGGGATCAGCGTCTCTCGTAGGGGTGTGTTCTGCGACAGGCGCCTGGCACAAAGACCCGGTGCCATCCAGGCACCTCCACCCCAAATCCTAGACCCTAAACCCTAAACCCCAAACCCTAAATCCCGGCCACACCTTCCCGCACGGAGCTCGTGCAACTCTGCCTCAACAAGTATGCTAGCTAATAACCGTATATAACCTTATACGACCCTAAATAATGCTATATAACCTTATATAGCCCTATATAGCCCTATATAACCCTATATAATCCAGTATAAACCTATGTACCCCCATATAAGAGCAGAGCAAGCACCACCGAGCAATCTGCGTGGAGCAGCTCCAGCATCTCCTCAGGGCGTAGAGCATTAGGGTTCGGAGTCTAAAGTCCTCAAAGGGGTTTAGGGTTTAGGGTTTTAGGGTTTTAGGGTTTGGGGTTCAGAGTCTAAAGTCCTTAAAGGGGTTCAAAAATACATCTATCTATCTACATATATATATATATACAGAGATATAAATATAGTTTATAGCGATTTATGTAGGGGACTACTATAAGGGTTATTAAGAGTCTACATTCCTTCACGGGGCATATATATATATCTTTATGTATATGTATATCTCTCTCTCTCTCTCTCGCTCGCTCAAACGGGTGTATATGTAGTATATAGTGATTTATGTAGGGAACTACTACAAGGGCTGTTAATTAAGGAGGATACTGGGAGTCTTTTAAACTCTTTATAGCTCGAATTATGAGGCCAAGAACTGAGGCGAATCTTCGGAGCCTTCTGTAGACACCCTAAACCCTAAACCCTAAAACCCCGAACCAAAAACCCTAGACCCTAAAACCCTGAACCCTAAAACCCCAAAACCCCAAACCCTAAAAGCTTAACTCTAAACTCTAATCCCTAAACCCTAAACCCTGAAACCCTAAACCCTAAAACCCTAGACCCTAGAGCCTTCTGCTGGGAGATCAGCGTGATCACCTCCTCCTGCACGTAGCCCGACGCCTTCGACTGGCTCCGCGACTTCGGCACGGCACCTTGCGACCAAATGAGCCATGGTCTAAACTCCTTTGAGGGGGGACATATAGGGGATTTTATAGGGGACTTGCTGAAATGCATCCTT